ACTCCTCCACGTCTTCGTCATGCGACAAAATGCGTGACATTTCTAGACACTTCCGCTTTTATTTTTGATCTTCTTCCGGTGTCTCGGGGGGTGTGTTTTCCATTTCTTCGAGTCATAAAATTCTTTATGTTTTTCTCATTATTTTTTGTCCATCTAGCGCATAATTTTTTTTATTCCTTCCTCCATCTGTCGGAGGAAAATTTCTATGAAGTTTTTTTTCCATTTTCTTTTCTCAAGCATTCAGCCTTAAGCATTGCAAATTCGATGATTTTATGATGTTTTGTCGTTCCCTCAATGGCGTCGTAATCAGCTTTATATTGCGGTTTGAACGTATTCATTATGGCGGCACCGCAGTCGTTGTCGCGGCCATCGCAGCGTCATTATCGTCGTCGAGTTCTTTGCCATTCTTGTCTTTAGTTTCGCGTCACCACCTTAGTCATCACCTTAATTCTCATTGTCATCATCATTGTCGTTTATTTCAAAAGTTTTTGGTGACGTCATCGTCATCTTTTGGTGATCATCGTCATTGCAGCAGCTGTTGAGCGTCGTCACTGTCACGGTTTTTGTCGCTGGCGTTGTTGATTGCGTCGCTTGTGTTGCCCGCACTGTGGTCATAATCGGTGCAGCTTTCGCAGTCGTCATCATTGTTACTATTGTTACTAATGCAGTCAACATCATAATGATCAACGTTGTCGTAATTGTGGTCGTCCTCATGTCGCTATCGTAGCCAACATTACGTCGTTTTTGTAGCCATCACCTTTAGTGATGTCATTATCGACGTAATAATTGTCGTTATTATAATTGCAGTAGTAGCAGCGGTTCGTGTTATAAAATTTATTGTAGCGCTAGTTACGAATGAAGGGTGAGTGTCATTAATGTTATATTGATTCTGCTATTGTTATCTAGATAGCGGTTTTCATTCGTCAGTATGAATGGTCTAATTATGCGGTGATTATTATTTGTTATCAGCGTAATCATCACATTCGTCTTAATCATCATCGTCTTCATCGTCCTTATAATCATCAACATCATTATCATCATCATCATCATCACTTTCACCACCATCGTCATCACCACCGTCATCATTATCATCTTAAACATCATCAGCCCCCTTCATACAATACACTTGAAGAATAAAATTATAAATTGCAAAACTTCAAATGGATGAGTGTGTTTGTTCATACCCTTCAAAGCCAACCACACTCACATACGTACATACATGCACATACACATGCAATAGATATGTATATATGTGTATATAAGTATATACAATATAAAAATAAATATATACAATATTACAATATTATATATATATATATATATATATATATATATGTGTGTGTGTGTGTGTGTGTGTGTGTGTGTGTGTGTGTGTGTGTGTGTATAAGTATATTATTGTATTATACAGCAGATACAAATAAATACATTTATTTATTTGTATTATATTTTTATATTTTTATTCAATTCTAATAATATATAAATAAATGATTAGAATTTAGATTGAAATGGCAGTCATGTCAGAGAGAACTATTTTCATGCAATCACGACAATTGAGTTCAGTTTTTCAATTATTAACATTGTTTTTCTTATTTTTAATAGAAAATAAACCATTAAAATTAAGTATTTGTATAACTGAAGTCAAATGAACGTGTTTAATAGGCAAGAAACACATCGTCAGCATAGTTATAATCAGCCACGATAATCCATCGGCGTCATCACACCGGGTCGTTGATATTGTTAAAATGTTTTTCTCAGTCATCATCATTTTCGTTATCATCACAAAGAGAGAGAGAGAGAAAAAGAGAGAGAGAGAGAGAAAGAGAAAGAGAGAAATAGAGAGAGAGAGAGAGAGAGAGAGAGAGAGAGAGAGAACAAGCGTTGCATGTCAAAGAGAAAATACTGAACAAAGAATATTTGTTATTAATTATAAAATGTAGGACGTTGAAGATGAGAGTAGTGATGAAGACGATGATGACGACGACGACGATGATGATGAGGATGATGGTAATAACAATGGTGATGAGACCAATAACAAAATGGTGATAATACTTAAGAAGATAACAATGATGTTGAGAAAGATGATGATGATGACGATGATGGTGCCGATGAGGAAGATGACAACGATGAAGAAGAAGAAGATGAAGATGACAACAAAATAATAAAAAAATAATGACTAAGATGATGACAGATCATAAATGCTAATAAAAACTAACTGCATATCTATCTATCTGTATATTATTTTCCCAAGCCAAGAGCTTTCATTGTAATTATGTCTGTACACTTGAAATATAACTCATCATCATCATCATCGTCGACACCAGCCATCGCGATCATCATTATCATCATTATCACTATCATCACCATCACCATCGTCGTCACCATCATCATCATCACCACCACCATCATCATCACCGTTACTGTCCTCTTCATCAGTGACGTCATCACCATCAATTTTGTCATCATCGCTATCAGAATTATCAACAGTCTTATCATTAAACGGTCATCTGTCTAGCCACACTTACGTCTAGCATGAAGACGTTACAATTATTGTTATTATTACTATTATTATTGTTATTATTATTGTTATTATTATTATTGTTATTGTTATTGTTATTATTATTATTATTATTATTATTATTATTATTATTATTATTGTTGTTATTATTATTATTATTGTTATTGTTATTATTGTTATTATTATTATTGTTATTGTTATTATTATTGTTATTATTGTTGTTATTGTTATTATTGTTGTTGTTGTTGTTGTGAGGCTGAAGTGATTTCCGGCTGATGCCAGAGCTGAGGATTTGTGTCTTTGATGAACGAAGATGATGATGATGACGATGCTGATGATGATAGTGATTTTGGTGATGATAATGATGATGGTGGAGATGAGGTTGTTGCTGTTATTGTTATAGATGATGATGGCGACAGTGCTGGTGATGATTTTGTTGTTGTTGTTTTTGTTGATGATGATGAACATGATTGTGATGGCAGTGGTGATAATAGTGATGATGATGATCATCATCATCATCAACCAAACAATTAATTTCTTAATTAGCAAGCATTTCAACAATAACAACAAACCAATTCAGAGCCAAAAAAACTCAATAAAAACCTCAATAATACCAAAGATAACAAAAATTATTATTTAAATTTCTACATTGTCTTTTCTGTTTATGGTTTTTTTCTTTTCAAACCAATTTTCATCTGCCATCCACTGTTATAACTTTTACTTTCTGGTTTTGGTTCCCGTTCACAGCGTTTATAATTACTTTCAGTTACTCGTTTTCATCTATTTTTTTCAATTTTAACATTTCATTTCGCTCACTCACTCACTCACTCACTCACTCACTCACTCACTCACTCACTCACTCACTCACTCACTCACTCACTCACTCACTCACTCACTCACTCACTCACTCACTCACTCACTCACTCACTCACTCACTCGCTCACTCACTCACTCACTCACTCATTCACTCACTCACTCACTCATTCACTCACTCACTCACTCATTCACTCACTCACTCACACACTCATTCATTCACTCTCAGCTTCCAAACACTAGGACCTAATTAGCATCATCTCTAATTAAACACGGAGAAACAATGCTTTATTGGCAGGTACAATGTTTTAAGCACGCCGAACGCTATCAGATCTGATGAGATGGAATGAAAGTAAAAAAAAAGAACATGAAAAAGAGAGGAAAAGAAAATGAATAAAACGAATGAATGAATGAATGAATGTTTGAATAAATGAATAAATGAATGATTGAATGAAAGCATTGTTGTTGTTATTATCAATGAATTATCTAAATCCTTGTCATCATCATTTTAATCATCATCAACATCTTGGTTGTCATAAACATTGTCATCGTCTTCATCTTCCAAAACATCATCATTAATTTATTTGATGTAAACTAAAATTTTTTTATAATGTTAATGCTTCAACATCGTTGAAGTGCTGATTTTTATGACAATGTCGTTGTTTGGCTTCCAAAATATGTAGGTCAAAATTACTACTACTAAAATTATAGTGATATTAATAGAAAAACATACACAAACAGACATACACAGACACACACATACACACACACCACAAGCACTTTACTTTCATACGCATATACACACAAACATACAAACAAGCAAATGCATACTTACATACAAACAAACAAACACGTATACGTATACACAAACATACAAACGCATGGACACATACATACATGCATACATACACATTGATGATGTTTATACTGTGATTGATACATATGTCATCAATCATCAGTGGTACGTCATAAAATTACTATTAATTCTATAGTAGTGTTATTACTGTATTATTAATACTTCTTCTTCAACTTTATTAGTAATTTTTGTGCTTTACACTACAACAACTGCTGCTACTACTTCTGCTGCTGCTGCTGCTGCTACTGCTACTACTATTGCTGCTGCTGCTACTAGTCGTTATAGTAGTACTGAAAAACTCTTCAGATGAAAAATAACAAACAGACAAATATGAATGGTACATGTTGATGTGTTGTTGTAACCAATGTTGTTGTAAAAACAGAAATGAATTAATATATCAAGGAATGTGGAAAGAGTTAGGCGGTGCAAAAATTGAATATTTTATCCGTCAATAAACTGAATAAACAACCATCATCATTATCATTGTCATCATCGTCGTCATCATCGTCGTCGTCGTCATCTTCACCGCAGCCAGTCAGACGCACAGATGCAGACTTTAAAAATCACGCAAAAACTCAGCAATTCACACAAAATTTAAAATGAAGCACGACGTTAATTTCTGTTCTCACTTTATCAAAAAGAAAACCACACACACACACACATACATACACGCACAGACACACACACAGACACAAACAAACAGAGACGCACACACACAAACACTCATTATACAATACTGACATACGTGCAACATTTGCATTTGCACCATTATTTAATACAAAACATATGCAAACACATACAATCATACATGTACAAACATACAAACACAAATATACATAAACTTAAACATACAGCACAAAATATCACATGCAATCACACGCACAAACGAGCCATCTAATGCTGGGCCATTCATAACCGTTCATTTGCAAACTCTCGTTAGAAAGAATGTTTCATTCATTCAATTGCTTTCCCGCTTTCTTTCTCTCTTTCTTTCTCTCTCTCTCTCTCTCTCTCTCTTCTTTCCTCCATCCTTCGCCTGTGTCTACTTATCTCTTACTTTCTTTTATTCACATTTATCTTCACAATCATTTTCTAACTCAGCTGGTTTATGTTTTTTCATTTGTTTATTTTATGAGTTGTTTTTGCTGAAAGAGTGCGCACGTGTGTACGTGTGCGTAAGCTAGTTTGTGCGTGTGTGTGTGCGTTTGTTCTTCGCGTAAACATTGTTTAAATCACGAGTCGATTGAATTGTCATCGCCATCCTTTATCACCTTTGTTGCCATCATCATCATCAACACCATCAGCAGAGCTATCATCATCAACATCTTCATGCATTATCCCATCAATGTTGATTCTTTCTTTGGGAATGAAGACCGAAACATAAAATTACACCAACGAATACAAGAATGCACATGAACACACACACGCACGTGCACACATTGACAAACACAGACGCATACACATAACGTGCAAGCAATAAAATAGAAAATTGTACAATAGATAGATCAAACACTGGTCTTTTGACTGGATGCATATACAATGAGTACATAATTATATATAGTTGTTGAATATACGAGAACACACTAAATATAAAGCATTTGAGCATAAATTAACATAAAGAAAATGTGTACACATACACACAAACACACCCACACACACTCATACAAGCACACAAACTCTCTCTCTCACAAACACACACCGACTCATAGAAGTATATATATATATATATATATATATATATATATATATATATATATATATATATATATATTTAGGAACGAGGTTTTCAGAAATGCAAATTTCATTGAAATTGTTTGTCCATTTTGCATTAATTAACTTCTTTATAAGACATTCAACGAGGTTAATTTATTTCACAATTTAATACATATTTTATTTTCTATATTTTCACATTTTACATTAGGCATTTACTTTAATTAAATTATATGTTTAAACAATATTTAGGCTCTGAAGATGGCATTACGCCGAAACAGCGCTGTTAGCTTTATTCCAGTTTTAGATAAATATGAACTCAAACAATACCGCCTCGTTGAATGTCTTATAAAGAAGTTAATTAATGCAAAATGGGCAAACAATTTCAATTAAATTTGCATATATATATATATATATATATATATATATATGTGCATGTATATGTGCGTACATATACACACAAATACACACCGACTCATAGAAGTATATACAAATATATGTGCATGTATGTGTGCGTACATGCGTGCGTGCGTGTATTACGCATGCAGGTACGTGACAAGTTGCGTATTTTATAGCCGTTAATACCCTGTTTGGCGATGGATACATTTTGTTTTCTAGCTCACGCACATAACTACTTCCTTTTCAAAACGCGATAAAATATGTACCGTGTGTTGTTTCATGCTGTGTGGTGTTGATGTGTGTGTGTGTGCGTGTGTGTGTGCGTGCGTGCGTGTATGCAGCGTGCGTGTGTGCGTGTGTGGCGTGTGCGTGTGTGGTGTGTTCGGTTTGCTTTCGTTTTGTTCTGCTTCTGCTGTATTTTGTTTTTGTGATGTGTTGTTAGATAGATATGTTGGCCTTGCTGCTTTAGATGTATTTTTACGCTACGTTTATGGATGTTTTAATGTTTATATCGTTGTTGATTTGGCAGAATTTGTTGCCAACAACAACAACCACAATTACTACTAATACAACAACAACAACAACTACTACTACTACTACTACTAAAACAACAACAACAACTACTACTACTACTAAAACAACAACAACAACTACTACTACTACTAAAACAACAACAACAACTACTACTACTACCAACACTACTACTACTACTACTACTATAGCAACAAAAGCAACAACAAAAGCAGCATACAGCAGATGCAATCCGGCTGACATTGTCGTTGTTTTGCTTCAGTCATCTTAATTGTCTACTTTGTGAACGAAAAAGTAATAATAATGATAATACTAATAATAATAACAATAATAACAACAACAACAATAATAATAATAATAAAGCTATAGATTGTCAATTATGATTATCGACATTCTTATTATGTTGTTTTAATAAAATTGATGTTGTTATTGCCATGGCGAGTTTGTTTACGAAGTGGTGCATACTTTATTAGGCTGCAGTGCGTGTTGATGCTGTTGTTGTGTTGATTTTGTTGTTGTTGTTGTTGTTGATGATGTTGTTGTGTTGATGTTGATTTTGTTGTTGTTGATGTTGTTGTTTTGGATGTTGTTGTTATTTTGAATGTTGTTGTTGTCATTGATGTTGTTGTTTTTGTTCGTGTTATACGCATAGCAGTGTTTTTTTTCATTTTAGAAACCGGCAAAAATCCTCCATAAAATAAAAATATCGAATATTTTCCAGCATGTCATCAGAATGTTATCAGGCTAAGTGGCTGTTTATAATAATGTCTGTTGTTACAAAAACTCACTGAATTTTTCATTGCAATGAGATACCTGAGTTATTGTTCTGCTACATTCAGCGCAGTCCTAGAAGAAATTTTATAATTTTAAACACCATTTTTATTGAGAATTCGCATCTTTCTTAACCTAAAACTCATTTGTATTGCTTTTCGTACATTACTTTATCTATATAACCTACAGTCATACAGCTATATATATATATATAGTAAAAGATATAGTATAAGTGTGTGTGTATATGCGTGTATGTGCCTGTGTGTGCGTGTGTGCCACCAAGTTTATGCCTTTGGTTATTCTTTAATTATGTAGACGGTTAGGTGCCTGTGTGTTGTTTGCAGCAATGTTCCATTTAAGCTTTCAAGTGCCACGAAAGATTACGTAAGCAGATTCACACGCACACACACGCACACACACGCACACACACATGCACATACACACAACAAACGCATACACAAACACTACACATACAGAGACACACAGGCACACACACACACAAAACATACACGTCTGTTGATGTGAATACATAAGAAAAGAATCTCACATTAAGCGTTCTTAACAGTTTTATGATTTCAAAGTTCTATTTGAGTCTGGTCGCTCGATGGCTTTCCATGAAATTACAGCTCGTTCAGCGTTTGTCTGAGCTGTGTTGTAGAGGAAAAAAATTATTAACTTTATGGGAAAAGAATTTTTTTACGAGTAAAACACAAATATATGAAGTCATAAACCAAGTTCCATAAACATTCATTTGAAAGAAAAAAATCTATACAACTAAATAGTGTTATCCAAATCACACACATACGCACACACACACATAACAAACACACACACACAACAAACACACACATAGCAAACATACACGCAACAAACACACACAAAACAAACACACACGCAACACGCAACACACTCATACAACACACACACATACGCACACACACACACAACAAACACACATGCAACAAACACAAACAACAAACAAACACACACGCAACAAACACACACACACTCACACAAACAACACACACACACGCACGCAGTCAGTGAGCACGAACATAGAAACAAGCGTAAGATTGTAAAGGAATGTCAACTAGGTGACCATAAAATAATGAAAGCCTTAAGCAGTGGTCAGTTCACTTGACGTGCTGGTTGCGGGTTCAAATCCCACTGGAACCATAATTTGGAGAAGGTGACCGGGTAAGAGAAGAGTAGAAATAAAAGTAAATTTTATCGTCGTTGCTGTTATATGGTGTTGTTGTGATGCTGTTGATGTTGTTGTGATGTTGTTAGTGTTGTTGTGATGCTGTTGATGTTGTTGTGATGTTATTGTAATGTCGTTGGTGTTGTTGTGATGCTGTTGATTTTGATGCGTTGTTGTTGATGCTGATGTTGTCAGTGTTGTTGTGATGTTGTAATGTTGTTGTGATGTTGTTGATGTTGTTGTGATGTTGTTAGTGTTGTTGTGATGCTGTTGGCGTTGTTAATGTGGTGATGTTGTTGCCTTGTTGTTGTGATGCCGTTCATGTTGCGTTGTCTTCGAAGTTATACCAGTAAAGTTGTATAGTTGTTTTTCATGTAGTATTTGTTGTTTTGTTTGCACAAATTAATGATATTTAAGTAAAAGATGTCAAAATCGTTAATGTTTAATATTTACTCTGCTAACGGTTGTTAATTTTCTAGTTAACCTCTGTTAACGTTTTAAATTTACATTTTCAGTTTTGTTTCAATAATAATGTTGTTGTCGGCTATTATTTGTTGTTAGGCTATTTTGATCTGGAAAAGTTCGCAGATGTTTTCGTCGAGTTTATACAAGTTAAATTTTTAATGTTGCTCACGTTTGGATCGGATGCTGATGCTGAAATTTTTGGTGTGTGATTGTTGCTAAAAATGATTTTGTTGATGTTATTGCCGATGACGCTATCTTTGTTGATGACGTCATCATTGTTGACGTCATTTTTGATGATATCATTTTAATGATGTTATTGTTACTTTGTTATTTGATGGGGTTTTTTTCATAACGGTGGTGGTGATGGTGATGTTGTTATAATAAAGTTGATGTCAGAATTGTGGTGAGTGTTTCTGCGATTGTGTTTGATGTGGTGTTGTTTGTCATTTTGATAACACTTCTTTAAGATGAATAATTTCATTTTATTGATGTTAGAGTTAACCATGAAAGAATTAATTAATCTTGACAAAAATAACTAAAAAAAACGTCTGTAATATTTATTAAAATAATTTTTCCCGAATAACTTTTTGTATTTAATATATTTTATAAAAGCTGAATTTATTCAACACTGTTTCTTTCCTTTATTTTGACATAATCATCTGTTTTAAACAATTTTTTATTCATCGCACTACTTTTTTTATAACTTTTTTTCCTGGTAAAAATTATGACAGCTTGATTGATTGCTTAATCCGAACGTGTGCGAAAAAATATTGAAATGAGATCAGTAGGAAACAAAAAGATGTTTGGCGAGGCATGCAGTGAATTATTACTTACTATGCCTTTTTTTAGCGTGAGTGTTTTATAATTTATTTGGTTATCTACGGTCTGATCTATTCATTATTATAAATGCTATTTTTAATGAGGAAGAACATATTTTACAATTTTACTAAATTATGTGCTGTCGTAAACAATGATGAAGATGTTGATACTCTAGCAAGAAATATGCAAATGG